GGGACTGTTCTTGGTCCACTCATATTTCTTGCTATTATTAATGATGCTTGTCACGACGCCACTACTACAAGGTGGAAGTTTGTTGATGATTTAAATCTCGCAGAGAGTCGGAAGATCGAAGCTACCTCCACCTTGCAGACTGACCTTGATCATCTCTCCACCTGGACTACCGATCGGGAAATGAAGCTGCATCCAAGAAAGTGCATGGTGATGCACGTGTCGTTCACAAAAGCCCCCTTTCAACGACCTCAGCTTTCTATAGCCGGTGAACCGTTGGTGGAAGTCCAAACAGTCAAACTACTGGGCATTCACGTTCAATCCGACCTACACTGGGAGTCCCATGTTAACAATGTTGTCAGAAAAGGCAGTCAAAAACTCTATCTACTCAGTCAGCTCCGGAGCTTCAACCTTCCCTGCGACGATCTTCTCACATGCTACAAGACACTCATACGACCAGTTTGCGAATACGCCGCCCCCGCGTGGCACCCTGGCCTAACATCAGCTCAACGAGCAAGGATTGAGGCTATACAGAGAAGGGCATGTCGGATAATCTTAGGACCTTCATACACATCGTACGCAGAAGCATGCCGCAAACTTGACTTGCCCACACTTGAAGCCAGACGTCGTACTCTGTCTTACAACTTCGCCAGAAGGATGCTTGACTCTGAGACTTACAGAGCTTGGCTCCCACCTTTGCGTGGCGACATAAGTACCAGAGACACTAGATCTAAGCACCTGCTGAACCCTGTCAAAACTAGAACAAGTAGATATTACAACAGCCCCATCCCGTACATGACCAGGCTCTTGAATGAACACTAATACCTATACAAGAACTGTGAACTTGCGAAAATGTGAATCTTGCCAATGAGTTAATGTAGTTAATGCTAGCCTCGTATATTTGTGTAAATGTGTTAACGCAAACTATGACGAAATTAATAGCAAGCCTTCTATATTGTGTTAATGAGTTTCTATATTGTGTTAATGAGTTTCTATATTGAGTTTCAATGAGTACTGTTAGTTTGTAATTTAAGATTTTTAGCAATTGTACAAGGTATGCAATTCAGCCCGGTGGCTGCAAATTACTTTCAATAAACCATCTATTATTATTATTATTATTATTGATAGATATATATGTTAGATAGTATGAAATGGCCATTAATTCGATAATTGTATGTTGACCTAATGACGGGAAGGTTATATCAGCGATTGAGTAAGAGAAAACGAGGTTGACAACGACACGACATTACTTCTATGTTCATTAATACAACTTCACTTTTTACAGAAGAGGTCTCACCTGATGTCGTACACTTTCTGTTTGTTTGGTTTGGGGAGTGTAAGCGGGTCCATACCGGGTGCCTCCAGTCTGACCTGTCCGTCTCCAGCACACTGTGGTGAAATCAGCACCACCCGAGGCTCTGTGCGTCCGTCCAAGAACCGGTCCTTATACAGGATCAGCAGGTGCCTGGGGGGTACAGACTGGTGAGCTTCAACGAAGCAATGAAACATTATAGTTCAAAGGTCGTGCAGCTAACCGCCATCTTGATGAACTATATAATGTTTGCTCCATGCCTGACTTTTATAGTTGTGGCATTTTCCGATTGACTGATTGATACATACATACATAAAAGCATGATACAAGGTGGTGAAGAACGAGAAAACATTGTACAGTCTTGCACGTCATCAATAAATCCATCCTCAGTGTTTTGAACTGATCATGTGTAACGAATGACACAGCAGGCTTAATCACGGGTCGACGATCAATCGAGGCAGGGCCAGACAGCAAGGAGGTTGTTTTATATAAACGTCTTTCAATGAGCCTGGCTCTTGTCATACATTGCAGAGATAGCGAAACGCTTGGCATAGAAGTGAGTTTCAAGCAAATACCCCAGACTCACCTGTCCATAACCCCCTCCAACCGGAGACCTAGTTTGGTCACCTCGGCCTCCCCCACCTCCAAACCCCGGCAGGACTTTACCGGGTGGACGTAGATTTTGGAGACATGGCCGACTGGGACGTACTGCCTGTTCACTGTACGCGGCCTCCGCCACTTCAGGTAGGCTAGTCCAGCTGCGATAACAGCTGTAGTAGACAGAGTAAGGACGACTAGCTGTCTGGATTCGAGAGCGACCTTCAGACCGTCCATCGTGCTTCAGCAGCTATCCTGCACGGCCAGGGTCTGTTTGTCCACCTTTGCGTCGTCGACTTTGACCCGTGTTCTGGGTCGAAATCCGCACGGTCACGGCGAGGATATGATCAGTGTATAGACTATAGTACAATAATGGCTCAAAACTGGTACATAGAATACGACATACATGTAACAAATATGAGTCAACTACTCTATTTCACGTTGTGGAATGATAGCAACATATCTTTATTTCTCTGGCCAAATATTAACTTGCCGCTACAGTGGTATTAGAGACAACCGTATTTTGTTACAACGGGTAATTAGACGTTTTAATAACGTTTTTTATTCTCTCCCTTGTTTGGACGCCTTTTTTCATGCAAGCATCATTAATATAGTTACATCATACACATTTAGTTCAAAATTACAGTTCCTTAATTCAAAGAAACAATCTGAGTATGGGCATATGTCATTGATTGATCGCCCTTATTTTTATTAACGCCGGCTCTGGTCCCCGATGATTGACGTACGTCACTCTCCTTTATATAACAGCGCAGGACGACGTTGTACGGGCCAGTGGTATCACGTGCACGCCGCGTACACCGTGTCTCCCACACGCACCACTCCCTCCTGGTCCACGCCACACTTCAGCCCGAAGAGCGGGGTCTGCGCGAACAGACCCTTATACTTCTCCTTCGTGGAAAGACGGTAACTGCGATGGGAAAAGAGCACCGTGTGTGATTGCATAGCTGCACGTGACATGTTATTATTGGGGATACATATATTGATGTAACCTATTGCATACAGAACGATATCTTATTGTTTTAGCGGTGTCGCTCAATTATTTAACGTTATATACCCATTAAAAACGTTGACGGTAATGTTTCTCGTACATTTGTAGAACTACAAGACTCGGAGGCGGTAGTTGCATGGACGTCAAATAGGTCGACATCATGCCAGAAAGCGCCTCCTGCTTTGCTTCATACAAACCTTTCGAGCGTCTTTAGAGGTTCCTTCGCCTTATCCTTCACACCGGTCTCGGGGTTGATAGTGGTTACCAAACACCTGGTAGCGGGAGGTAGTACACGGTCACTTTGGTGGGGACTAGAACAATGCGGTTGACAACAGAGAATAGGTACGCTTCGGGTCAAAATCTCGCTCGTAAAGAAATCAATATATAAAACAAATTGTGGGAAACACCGTTTCGGTAACTCTATTACTTCACGGTGTACCGCTATCCCTACCTGTTGCACGGTAAAACTGTTCGAATATCCACTTTGCCGATTCGTATGTGTAGCCAGTCGTCCTGTAAAATGATTGTGTACTGATCAATGGTATTAGATACAATATATACACTATATATCTTCAACATGATCGACAGATGAAAATGGGAGCCCTATAGATAGCAAACTGTCCCTGAAATTTCCCCTTGTTTCAAATCAACTTTTTGTTCATGCATTAAAACTGTACTTGTCGATTAAGCAGAACTTCTTGAGCCTTTAAGCCCAAGTCGCCTGTTTTGGGCTACCAACACTCTTCTATAGCTGGACTAGCCAGACTACTTCCTGCACTAACGTTACCTCTTGAAATGGCTCACTCCCAGACACCACAATGTTGGGTCGGAAGTTGCGCATGGCTACAGGAGTGGTCAGCTTGTTGTTCAGGTTGTCCAGAGACGCCTCTGACGTAAGCATCAAGGCGGTTTGGTCTTGGAACCCCACCTGGAACACGAATGGGTGGAAATGTTGGTATCAAAAGACAAGTTGCATTAAACATTGTTTTCCCTTCCAATCGACATGCTCCTGAGTCGACATTGCGGACAATATGCGCTAACTGTTACGTCTTCCGACAAACGTGACCGTGACCTTCGAGTAGGTTTGGAGTGACAGAACAGGGACGTTGAAATGTAAGACGTACCTTGTCATCTTTCCCGGCAAAGCGTTTGTACCTCCAATGGTCAACCGTGTGTCTCTTCTTACTTCCCGGTGCGGACATGACCAGCTTGTAGCCCGGCTTCCCGAAAAACTTCTCCAACCAGCCGGCAGCCTCCGGGCCGCAGTCTACAGCGTCGCCCTTAATATCCCATATGCTGGGACATGAAAAAGAACGCAAGACAGAGATATGTTTTCATTAGGGGGTTGTCACCGTCTCGAATCTCCTAAATCGTTGTTCGCAAAGCAATGTCATAACTCTCACCATCTCTCTCACTTGCTTTTTATACAAAGACTGAAAGAAATAAACACCGTAAACCTGTGATGATTTGCTGAAAGACGGCAAAGTACACAGTCTTACCTGACGTTAATCACGTTTTTGGTGGGACCAGACAAGATGAGTGGGTCCATACCGGGTGCCTCCAGCCTCACCTGTCCGTCTCCACTACACTGTGGTGAGATCAGGACAATGCGGGATTCCGTTCTCGAGTCCAAGAAACGATCTTTATAAAGAATCACCAGGTGTCTGGATATAGAAGGAGATGTATGTTGTCATTCAACAAAACCAACGTGTAGAAAGAATCAGACAGTCCAAAGGTTGTGTAAATCAGCTGCTAGTGACAGAACTACACGCGTACACGGTGTCCCAGGGGGTTCTTTGTATCACGGGTCAATCAGAGGTCAATGGTTGTGTTCGTTAGGTAACCTCCCTGAACAGGTTGATTTTGGTGGGATCGGCCTGTAATTTAGCTTTATAAGGATCGCATTTTCTAACCTATTATCACATTCATTCATTCGTAAGACAATAATGGCTTTAGACTAAATTAGAGTGCAATGTTCATTCCAGCTCTCACCTATCCATAATTCCTTTCCATCGCAAACCCTGCTCGGTGACCACGGCCTCCCCTACCTCCAGACCGCGACAGCACTTCACAGGGTACATGTAGATCTTAGCAACATGCCCAACGGGGACGTAGTGCCTTTTATGATGCCTCCGCCACTGGAGGTAGGCAATGCCGGCAGAGATCACTGTTGTAGTAGTCAGTACAGCGATAACTACGCCTTTAGATTGGAGTGCAGCTTTCAAACCGTCCATCTTACAGGTGTCCGACCACTCTACGTTCGACTGCTCTACCTCACACTCAAACTCGATCCTGTCTACCAGTGTTTGCACTGTATACCTAGACCCTACCCGGCGCAAATGTAAACATTCGATGAATCACGAGCGTTCCCTGCAAAATTTATCCGGAAAGGGTCAGCCCACGGAAAATGCCCTTCGAACTTTGAACTATTGAATACAGAGGCCCATTGCTGTTTGTCAGGCTGCCGAATAGCAAAGCTAGTACGCTCACACTTCCCAAGATAACGGTTTACAACACACCTGCAGAATGAACCACCGTCTTCAGTGGATTCGATGTTTTGTGCGAGTATGATATATTATAAAGCTTTCTTACCCAGGCACCGTTGCAGTTCATCGACTTTTCACCACCTCAACGCTTTGAGTCAACGCAATCTCCGTTTTATAGATTGACCTTTCTCTCGGCAGCATCACTACGTCAACATTTCAGACCTGACACAACACCTCGCTGTTCTATGCATGGTTCATGGCATATTCGTCCGGAGCTTGTGAAGAAGCTACAGACGAACGGCTGATGTCGAAACACGTCGAAAATCATTTATTACATCCGGTAGTAACAGGTAGTTGAAATGGACAAGTACAGAGAAACATGTTTTCATTGTATGACCAAAACATTTATTTCACGATCACAATTAGGTGTATGCCAAACGTCAACCGACGTATTGTTACGACTGAGGGCCCTCAGAGGTTGAGGAGTTCGGTGCCACTGTCTTTGCGACTGCGGCGTTCCGCTACACGCAGGCATACACTGTGTCTCCTACGCGGATGGACCCTTCCTGCTCCACCCCACACATGAGGCCAAACAGCGGGGTCTGTCCGAATAGTCTCTTCTGTTTTTCGTCCTCGGGAAGACGATAACTAGAGACAGAAAAATAACAAGACATTGATAAGTTCTACTGAGCTGCCTTTGTACTAAAGGGAATGCATCTGGTCCAAAAGATAAGCGAATGAACTTCGATGATCGAAATCGATTTCTCCAAACACACCAAGACGCATGAATGGTTTTCAGACCTTCTGAGTGTATTGAGGGGTTCCTGTCCTTCCTTCACACCAGTTTCAGGGTTGACGGTAGTTATGAGGCACCTATAGGAACAAGGGACAGAAGGCGGTTAGACTTAGACGGCCCGAGGCTCAAAGATGAACGAAGATTCAAGATGAACTGACCATGTTTGACAGAACTCTAGCGGAGAAGAATGAATCTGCCTTATGATCAGTGAAATAAAGCAGAAATATCGACACTGGTCAATTTATGTGTTGGTACTGCAAAAGTTTCTTTTGTGTTTGTTATGATTTGTGAAATATTTGTAGTGATGATATTACGCTGTTATACCCACCTGTTGCAGGCTAGCGTTTTCCGGAACTCAGCCTTACCGATGCGCACGTACTGCCAACCGTCCTGGAACAAAGCACAGGTGCAGATATGATGGACAAACCGTTGCAGACAGTAGGGTGGCACACAAAGTTTTCTATTTTTGACGGGATCACAACTACCTGATATAGACTAAACTTGTGTTAGTCACAGTGATATTACGTCATCGCATCGTATCCCATCTGATGTGTCCTGTTTCTTTGCAAAATTAGAACCCTGGTCCCACCTACCTCCTGGAATGGGTCACTCCCAGACACCACCACGTTAGGTCTGAAGACGCGCATGGTTACAGGGTTGGCTAGTCTGCTGTTCAAGTCGTCCAGAGAGGATTCTGTCGCCAGGTGCATGGCCACAAATTCCTGAAACCCCACCTAGGACGTCACCGAAACAAAAACGATCGTCATTACTAAATGACGTCGACGCGCATGTAGTACATGTACCATATCACAGCGCACCGTAACAGAAATACGTTCAAGTTGAACCAAACATCTTTCACTGTAAGTAACATTTCCCGCAAGCTGATTAACGAAACTAACCTTGTCCTTTTTGGTGGCAATGCCCTTATACCTCTTGTGGTTGACGGGGCAGCGGGTCAACAGCCTACACGACCCCGCAGTCCTACATACAGCATTAGGGTCAACCAAAGGTGATTGCGGGATTGTTCCTACATTTACATGTAGCTATATTCTCCCCGCTCCCTACCTGTCCATAACCCCCTCCAACCGGAGACCTTGTTTGGTCACCTCGGCTTCCCCCACCTCCAGACCCCGGCATGACTTTACCGGGTGGACGTAGATTTTGGAGACATGACCGACTGGGACGTACTGCCTGCGGGACCGCCGCCATGTCAAGTAGGCTACCCCAGCAGTGGCGACCGCTGCCGTGGCCAGAGCAGCAACAACTATTTGTCTCGACTCCAATGCAGTCTTCAGACCTAAGTCCATTTCGCCCTGTTACTCACATGTCAAAACTTTGAACTGAATGCGGAAGCCACTCGGGTGTATTTGTCACCGTCAGCCAAGATATCAAGGAATACGCCTTTTCGCAATTATTAGAGCGCCCGTGCAGAGTTGACTTAACAACTGGGCAGCATTGGCTAAAAAAAGATCAATGAAAGGTCAAAGTACAGCCCTGAGGCAAGACCATGGAATAGAAGTCTAGCGTGATGTTAATGATTAATGGTAAAAGCAAAACCATTCGTCTGTGCGAAAAGGCAAGAATGAATCTACTAGTATGTCTACAAATTACTAATCCCCTATTTTATATAGATGCAACACTAAATAAGAAATGTAAGGACTCTCTCTGGAAAAATGTAAACGTTATGTGAACGCTGTTCTCAACCGTGGTGAAAACTACCTAACATTATAGAATTATATACTAGTACAGTACTTCTTTCTACATAAGGAATGGGAAGGTCGGAATTGCGATGTCAACACTTTATTTGTTGCTGTAACCAAAATTTGCAGATCCTCAGACCAATGAAATGATGTAAGATAACTGGCAAGTAAAACCTTGAGTCCCACAGGACAAGAACACTCCAAATTACTGCTGTCTTCGAACATTACTTATAATATCTCAAGGAATCAAGTGTTCGTTGTTGTAGCTTAACTAAGCAGAGTTTTTTTATAAAGGCATTTCGTAAAATATTAAATAAATTCTGTAAGTAATATGGAGTTGGACTACCATGGAGTACACAATGTGAACAATGATTGAAGTGAAATATAGTATAACATGATTCTAACCATTTTTCAGCTAGAATGTGGATAACCAATAGTTTCAACATTTGACGGTTTCCTGACTGGTGATGTAAGCATACTATGCACAGGCATAAATTCTATCTCCGACATTAATGGCCCCTTCATGTTCCACTCCTAAGGTGATGCCAAAAAGAGGGCTTTGTCCAAATAGTGCCTTGTGCATTTCCTCCTTGGGTAGACGGTAGCTGGGAATGAAATGATAAAGACAACATTTCTGTCAGTTGGCATTGAAAAACAAACATTTTACTATACACAAGCATTAGGCCTATAGGGATGCCACAACAACACTAGTCATCAGATAAATATTACATTTGAAAGATCCCGTTTTAGACTCAATATCTTACATTTGTACCAGGTGACAGACCTATAAGTGACAGTGGAAAACTGCATATTTTGAGGCCAAACATTGAAATGCAAAGTGGAGTATGTTACTAATTGATTACTTGTACTAGAAGTTTGC